ACTGACTTTTGTTGTGTGTATGTGTAGGGTGGTTATGTTGACTGCTGCAACGGCGTTTGGAAAGTTCAAGGAACATTAGCCGTCTCACGAGGATTTGGAGACCGGTATCTCAAGAAATGGGTAATAACTGAACTGGAGACCAGAACGCTACGGATTAAACCGGAATTCGAGTTCTTGATCCTAGCATCGGACGGCCTTTGAGATAAGGCAAGCATAACTCAAAATGTTTCAAAATTGATTCTTTTTTAGTCTCCCAGTTTGACTGTTGAACCGGAATTTTTGCGAATGTTATAGGTAACGAACCAAGAGGCGGTCGATGTGGTTCGACCATACTTATTAGGCGTAGAGAATCCAAAGACACTTTCTGCTTGCAAGAAACTAGCCGAGCTATCGTGTAAGAGAGGGTGCTTGGATGATATTAGTCTAATCATAATTCAGCTACAACAGTTTCAGCCATGATTCATTAACATCTAGTATTACGTTAAATTTGATTAATTTCTTTAGATCTTAAGTTATTGATAAATTTTGTCCGGTGTTTGACATGTAAATAAAGGTTTCAAACATGATTATTTTATTACTAGCTATTACTAGATTTATTTATTTTTGCTAAAGGTTTCAAATATTTAGATTTATACCCACGCGTTGTGCCGGAAATCATTTTAATATAAAAATATATTTAATTCATTAAATCTAAATATTTGAATTTTCGAAGGTTAATCCATGCAACCACAACGGATTATGCAATCACAATGGATTCAGCGAATACGATTTACCAATAAAAAAAAACACAAAATGCTATAAGAGAATTTATCAATTTATAAATGTTTTTTTCTCATCCAACCTACCATGTTGGTGTGACCAAACAATTTAGTCTGGTTTCAAGTATGATAGCCTAGTCTAAGCCTAAAAACTTCTCACATAGTAAAAAAGATATGAAAGTTTTATATTAGTCTTTGAGCTCTAAAACACTTATTTATCTCATTTTCTTTCTACATTTTATAAAATAAACATGTTCTCCTTCATGAATCTATTCTCTTTGCTCACATATAACATGTTAGATTATATATTGCTTTTCATATTTTTGTAGTAAAGTTGTTCATATCTTTCAGCAAACGACAACTTTTTCACTATCTAATCATATTTTTTATTTCATGATCCTCATTTTAATCACTTAATTATGTTGTTCCAAATATTCATCCTCATTTGGTTTCTATTCGTTTAGAA